AGGATGCGTTTGAGATTGTGACATCACCACCTCACCTCATCCAATCAGAGAATGCCTTGCAATAATTTAAAGGCAGTGCATCCTCTGAATGGCACCCATGCCACGCAAGTGACCTCCTTTGGTTACTATGCAATAGGGCAGCTGCTCAGCATGGGACCTAGACAACCACAAGACTCATTGTAGTATCAAAGACTCCTACAGCGATTTTCTTCTTCCAGAGATATATACCCGCACTGGTCATTGTTCCAAGCTTCACCAATAATTTTGCCAAAACAAATAAATGCTTGGGTTTCAGTACATGAGCACAGCCTGTCACTGTAAACAAGCTGCTAGCAAGCTTTCAGAAAGTTGAAAATTGTGTGGAAGTTTTCTGAAGCCTGCTAGCAGTCAGGTTAAAGTGACAGCCAGCAACCCCCTTAGGATCTATTTCTAGAATTCCCAAACAGGAGTTGAATAGTGCTTTAAAATCTTCAACAAAGCTAATTGTTCACACTGCACTTGTACAAGTGAAACCCCTTATGAGCTGGGACTTTGCCAGTAGACTTTTGCACACATCAGAACTTCTCCATACAAAACAAAATCATCTCACAACAGCTCAGCGCAGCGTTGGAGGGCAAATCCACCACCAAAATCAGCTAAATGCTGCAGCATCTGTCACACGCTAGTGGAATGCACCTGCGCCATAGTGGTTAATTGCAGTACTGTATTGAAGGTTTACATCAATTTAATAAAAGGACTTACGGCTAAACACCTAAAAGTCCTCCCTTGGAGTGGGGTGCATCTACACTGCAAGGGGTAAACTGCTCATTTATGTCTAGAGGCCATGGAAAAGCCCTTTTACTGATATGATCTTCTGCTCCTACAGGCTCCTCACAGCCTCTTCTTCCTTATGCTTCAATGGTCTAATGCAGGGGTGGGCAACTGTGGCCCCCCAGCTGCTGCTGAACTACAAGTCCCAACATACCTCTGCCTTTGGGAGTCATGCTTGTAACTGCCAGTTTCGCAGTGCCTGATGGGACTTGTAGTTCTACAACAGCTGGAGGGGCACAGTTGCCCACCCCTGGTCTAAGGTCCTCTAACATCAAGACTGATGCAGGGACCTGCACTGTATAAAAAAGGCACCAAGAGACCTCGACATTCCAGTTGTGTTAAAACTATAAGTCTCATCATCCCTCAACTCATGGAAGTAAGTCTTGCAATGCCTCTTAGGACTTGCAACTCTACACCAGTTGGAGTTTCAGGGTTGCCCACCCTAGTCTGCACTGTTCTCCACCGCCACAGCATAAAGCAGCAGTTAACCCTTGCAGTATAAGCACAGTCCCACTGCTTAACCACTTGCCTACCAGGCATTTCTACCCCCTTCATGCCCAGGCCAGCTTTCAGAGCTGTAGCACATTGAGCGACAATTGCACAGTCATGCAACACTGCACCCATATGAAACTTTTAGTTTATTCACACAAATAGAGCTTTTTGGTGGTATGTACTTACCCCTGGCTGTTTTATTTTTTGCACTATAAACCAAAAAAAAAAAATGCAAACAGGCAATTTTTCTCAAAAAACTACATCCCCCAGAGGAAGCTACGAGTCCCTGTAGCGTAACGCGTAGGGGAGGGGCAGTGACATCATCACGCATCCACAGAGGAACGGTGCGTATACACATTGAGGGCAGACACACCTACAAGGCTGACCCTATCTTGGTTTGGATACATTTTATACAAAGCGCAATTGTATCTTTAACAATGTGAGTGTAAAATCAGCACACATTAAAACATCTTTAATCCTGGATAAGACACTATGTTTCTTTTCCCTTCTTTCATGTTCCATCTATGGAGGATAAAGTCAAGCAGCTAGCTGAGAATGATCTAATGAAACGGCTGTGCTGAGAGAGAGGCTCACGCTGTTAACACAGATCCATGGTGCAGCTTTGTTTGAATATTATTATTTAATCCATCACAGAGGAGGAATATCTTGTGGTATATTGAATGCTGTACCCATTTGGGTGATTAAAACTATATTACAGAAAAGGAAAAATATTTTTCTTCCCACATATTTTAGCACTAATGGTGTAACTTTGAACATTATTATTTAACCCATCACAGAGGAGGAACATTTTGTGGTATATTGTATTCATTTGGGTGATTACAGAAAGGAATTTTTTCCACATAGATTTTAGCACTAATGAATGGATTTTTTGATGATTTGTGGTATATATAGAAGTTTTTCATAGAATTGATATACGTGATAGGATTTATTGGAGTGCGGTACTATATTGGAATATTATAGGTAATTTTTCTCCTTCACTGATATGCAACAATGATTGGCAGTAATCAGTGCCCTGATTATTGGTGCTGATCCATCCTCTGACAATTGCTGGTTTTGGGCAGTACTTTCCTCACGCTGTCAAAGTGCAGCCAATAACCGGCAACCGCATTTACCAGTTATCTGCTAGGTCATTGGACATGGCTGATCACTTAATAAAAGGCCTTTTACATTATCAGCTGTGTCTTTAGGACACAGCAATCACCAGTTTCATGGGTAGGCACAGGCTGGGAGGACATCATATGATGCCCTCCCAGAACTGGCCAGCCGCGGTGAAGCCGTCATTCGGCTATATACAGTCAGCAAGTGGTTAAAAGCACGTTCCAGGGTCCTGTATATGCAAGCTCCCATGCCAAATAGTTTGTGGTTTCTTGGAAGTTGACATAAAGGGGTTATGCAAATTGTGGCAACCTCAATATCTCATCTACAAGATGTAATGGCAATCACATACCTGCTTTATACACAGCCCCATCTAGCAGCTGAAGGACAATTCAAGTCAGAAGGGAAAGGGGACAGATGCATTTGTAGGCAGTTGGAATGACAGGCTGCACCCTGCCCAAAAGGACCAATACAACAGGGTAGCAGCTAGGCACCTTCTGCCTCTTAAATGTACACAGTTTTGGTAGGGATCCAGCACCAGTGATCTGGCATTGGACCTCAATCTCTAAAGTAAATTACAGGTAGCCAGTCAACCATGGCTGATATTACCCAAGTGTCCTGGCAGCAGAAGGGTGGACTTTCACATCCACTACATGCTGAGAGCACTCACTGTACACTTAGAACAAAAAGTCAAGCTGGCAGACAGCTTTTGGTCCAGGCTAGATTGGTAGGCAACCTGGACAGTCTTCCATCATGCAATCGCTGATCCTTCCCAGCACCAGGCACACCAAACTGTGTAAAGGGATGCTGGGGAGGGGTTAAAGTTTTAATACCACAACAAAATACACAGTGTCCTAAAAAGGAGTACTTTTGGCCCACTTCTCCTGTAGGAGACAGAAGTGCACTTAGCTAAATCTGGATCACAGGAGTGCAAACTTAAAAAGCAGGCTAAAAGTCTGGATTGGCTGAGTGATGTTAGCTGCCAGCAGACTCTGGGAGGGATCCCAACTTTAATGTCAGGATCCACCCAGATGCCTGACCAGCAGCTGACTTAACCTCAGTGCACTGCTGAGAATCTGATTCAGCTGCACCAGTAAGTGGTGGAGGAGAAGAGCACACTTAGTTCAGCACTCCTATGACCCATATTCAGGCAACAAGGTCACTGGTGGCTGATGTCAGAGCCAGTCCAGGTTTGAGAGATCCCAACTTTAATGTCAGGATCCACCCAGATGCCTGACCAGCAGCTGACTTAACCTTAGTGCACTGCAGAGAATCTGAGTCAGCCACACCAGTAAGTGGTGGAGGAGAAGAGTGCACTTAGTTCAGCACTCCCATGATCCATATTCAGGTAAAAAAAGGTCACTGTTGGCTGATGTCAGAGCCAGTCCAGGTTTCAGAGATCCCAACTTTAATGTCAGGAACCAACCAGATGCTGCTCTCACCACCCAATCCTCAAGTGAGCACTGGAGGGGCAAAGCAGAGCGCCAATGACTGACAAGCACTGGCTGACTACAAACTGAGCAATAAGCTGTCTTTGTTTGGTTCTTGCAGGTGACAGATGCACCATTAGACCAATTCTGCATCCACTTAGGCAATTATGTAGGCTTTTTGCCTTCAAAACCCAGACCCTGATCAGAAGCCACAGCAGGGGTGGAATAGCTGCCTGCCTCTGAAGGCAAATTGCATTGACAAATTTAGCACAAAGGGAGTCTTATAGTTGGTAGAAGAACCTAAGCTGGTGAACTAAACCCATTCAGGGCAAAAAGGAAGCTTATGGCAAACCATATAGGAGAACCAGAACACTGCCATTCAAGTTTTAGGAAGAGAAAATAAACCACACTTTATTAAAATTGTTTATTTGGCCAACATGTCCCAAATTAAATATGATGGAATGCTTTCAGAATTAAATGTTCAAACTTGCCCATGTCTCATGACGAAAACCAAAAAAAAGTGTCATATGTTGCAATCTCAGAGGCTGGGTCCTGACAGGCAGGATAGAAAAAAAAAACTGCAATAGAGGGCTGTGTTACTGGAGGGACTGCTGTCCATTGGGAGCCATCAGACCAGGGAGACTGTACTCTGTATGAAATACTGAAAGCCACCACAGGGCACTGGAGGGCAACATGAAAAAGAATGATGCTGGAAAGTTGACATTCGAGACCCATTACTGCAGGTACAGCTTCTCATTGCATCTAATCTAAGAGTGGCCAAGACATGGAGGGGATGAGGACAGCCCTTGAAGGACACCAGCCATGCAATGATTTGTTCCATCTAGAGTAAGTCATTCACAATAAAAACATAAGACAGGACAACACAATACAGGAAGCAGCAACAAGTGCCAAACTTTACATTAGGGCAGATTACTGAAAGTGTTAAAAAAATAATGCATCACAGTGAAAAAAATGGACAACCATAAAACAAAAAAAAGTCAAAGCTCCCTTTACCCAAAACAAAAGACATGTACAGACTGATGACATTTCCCTGGCTGCTTGTCAGAGCTCTAACAATGTAAAACATTCCCAGACATCATTCCTCCCCTCCACTCTTAGTGTCTTCTGGCTGTTGCAGTTAATCCCCATCTTTTATAATTCATCTTTTTTGTGTTGGTCATCTTCATCTTCCAATTCAGGCTCATCTACTTCTTCCAAGTCCTCCAAATCCTATGGAGGGAGAACAAAAAAAAATTCACTTAACACATTTACCCTCCACTTAGGGCTATATCATGAGCAAGCCTTAACCAACATGAACAGTAATAGAACTGTACAGCATAACTAAAAAAACAAGTAGTCTACACACCCCCACCCCAGATACATCATCCCTAGAAGCTGCACTACACACCCCCACCCCAGATACATCATCCCTAGAAGCTGCACTACACACCCCCACCCCAGATACATCATCCCTAGAAGCTGCACTACACACCCCCACCCCAGATACATCATCCCTAGAAGCTGCACTACACACCCCCCACCCCAGATACATCATCCCTAGAAGCTGCACTACACACCCCCACCCCAGATACATCATCCCTAGAAGCTGCACTACACACCCCCACCCCAGATACATCATCCCTAGAAGCTGCACTACACACCCCCACCCCAGATACATCATCCCTAGAAGCTGCACTACACACCCCCACCCCAGATACATCATCCCTAGAAGCTGCACTACACACCCCCACCCCAGATACATCATCCCTAGAAGCTGCACTACAAGCACCATGTTGTAATTGTAACAGCAGACTACATCTTGATTTCTGCATCCAGAATGACAGGCGTGAATAGCTGTGACCACTCAGCCCATACAAAAACCTGACCAGCTGACAGCAGTCAGTTATTTGCACAGCCAGTGGTTACTCAATGCATTGTGTGCATCCAGTCAACAGTCAAAACCACTGCAGCCACTGAGTCAGTCCTTGGTTTGTATAGGAAAAGCACAGCAGCCATTTGCACATCTGCCATTCCTAAACCAGAAATCCAGATTGTTGCTACTGGAAGGAAAAAAAAAAAAAAAAAAAAAAAAAAAAAAAGGGTACATAGTTAATCTGGCTGAAAAAAGACAAGTCCATCCAGTTCAACCATAGGAAAAAAAAAAATAAAGTTATAATCCTATACCCACTGTGTACTGATGACCTGTGAATGTGGCCCTAATACCTATTCCAAATTCCATTGTAAACCTTCTACCCCCTCTGTTCAATACACCCCTTGCCCATCTCAATTTCTTTATGTAAAAATGTAGTGGGTTTAAAGGCAATTAGGTTCCTGAGCCAATTTGTTCCTCAGAGAGCATGGGACCACAGGAAACCACTTGCCCAATGAAAGCAGAAGGTAATTAGGAGTCTATTCCCCGATCCCTCCTGTGACTAAACCCCAGAAGCAACATGCATCATGCTCACTACTGGGGTAACAGCTGTCATTCAGCTACTGTAGCCAAGGATGCAGCTATTCAAACATGATTGGTGTTTGATTAGCTGCATTAGAAGAAGGCAGGAGAGACATGGTGGGGGCTATTAGATCCAATGTCTTTATAAAACCTGTCACCTACCTGGGCTTTTCCATAGGGTGCATTTTAACCCCCTTGTAATAGGTAAAATTATATTAAACTTTTTTAGAGCACATCCTATATAAAAATGTACAGCATAAGGCAAGCAAATTTAAATTGTTCCACACATTCAAGATATTGTGAATGCAGGGCTTGAGTAATAAATTCTATGACCATAATTTACACTGAACCTGTTAAGCATGGGTGTCAAACTGGCAGCCCTCCAGGTGTTGCAAAACTACAAATCCCATCATGCCTCTGAGTTTGGCAGTCTAACTCAATTTTGCAATGCCTCATGGGACTTTAGTTTGGCAACAGCTGGAAGGCTTTAAAGCCTTTACTGCACAGGTGTCAATCTTGCAATGCCTCATGGGACTTTTAGTTTAACAGTTACAAGCCTGCCCCCCAAAAGGCAGAGGCATGATGGGACTTTTGCAACCGCTGGAGGGCTGCCAGTTTGACACCACTGCTTTAAAGTATTGTCTATGGAGAAGTTTGGGCACCATAGTTTTTTGCAATTCCATGGGTCTGCCCAGTTTAAGACTGACATGTTTGGTATCCATTTACAAAGCAACCAATTCTTTTACATTTCAAAAGTTAGTGTCTATTAATCATCTTACTGTATTTTCAAAAAAAACTATAAATTCAGGGCATCTTTCAGGAAAGAAAACCCATTTCTCCTTTCAGAAAAAAACCATCATGTTCTACTTACCAGCTCTGTGCAATCCCCAACCCTTTTTGGGTTCTGCCTGTGGTCCTGGCTCCTGCCCCCTGCTGAGTGGGGCCCAATAGCAAGCCTCTTACTATGGGGCACTCAAACAGGCTCACTCCCAAGCCATGCTCCTGTAATCCAGTCACCTGTGGCTCAGCCCTGCTCATTGGCTGTGATTGACAACAGCAGGAGCCAATGACTCCTGCTGCTATGTGAGCCAATGGGAGAGACCTGTGGCTGTTATGCACATTGCTGGATCAAGATGGGTCTCTGGTAAGGGGGGAGCTACATGCAGGTTTTTACCTTAACCCTTTGAGGACCAAGGGACGTATTTGTCCCATGTTTTTAATTGCGTGTATCATCTGATTAAGAGCATAAAACTTTTTTTTGGTTTGAGTCAAAATATTAGTTCTTAACAAAATGGATCTAGCTTTTTGCCAATTTCATGAAATGGCTTCGTTACAGCAACTGAAGTGCATGAACTTTAAAAACAAAAAAATTGATTCTTTTGGTGTTCCAAAATCTTACGGTCCTCAAAGGGTTAATGCTTTTAGAACCACTTTAAAGTCTCACCTCATTAGCTGCTCCATCCTGTCCTCCGCTTTCCAGGAACTTTGTGAAGCCATCTAGTGTTCGCTCTCCATTATAATCTACCACCTACAAAAATAAATAAAAAAGGGTTCGTATTTACAAGATGAAAAACCCAAAGTTAGTTTCCTATATAGTAGTTTCCTTCTGGCGCAACTATAACCTTATAAAAATGTATTGCAGTCAATTCCTCAAAAGCCTACCAGAAAATAAATTCTCATCTTTGCCTACCACTAATATTTCTAGGGACTACACATTTATTATATTTCAGGTACTTATATAGCGCCATCAATTTACACAGCACTTTACATATATATTGTACATTCACATCAGTCCCTAACCCTCAAGGGGTGTACAATCTAAGGTCCCTAACTCACATTCATACATACACATACTAGGGACAATTTAGACAGGAGCCAATTAACCTACCAGCAGGATTTTGGAGTGTGGGAGGAAACTGGGGTACCTGGAGGAAACCCACACAGGCACAGGGAGAACATACAAATTCCAGGCAGGTGGTCATCTCTGCATGCACTGTTCTGTACTGTGATAACCAACTTGCATGCAGTTGCAGGAGTTCTCTTTTCCTGGTCCTCTGAATTTGACCATCTTGATTGCTTTGCCTGGGATGATATATCTACTGCAGCAAGTAGTGACATGGAGAGCACAGCTGTCACATTGCCAAAGGCCCCCTCCAGCTGAGCATCACAATGAAAATATGTGGTACACTCTTGTACACTAGAAAAAACCCTGGGAACCCACAGCTGAATTTAGTTCTACTTTGCGATTCACAAAAGAAATGCTTTGCTTAAACTTTCCACCTGGAGATCCTGCCAGTAATGGCACTTCTCAATTCATGCGGCCTCCAAGCACTGCATGATTTTTTTAGATGTTGGGATGCCCATAATTAGCAAAAAGCACTCAGACAAGATATTTAGTTGACCTTTTGAGTTGCTAAAGTAGCATGGCAGGCTGCCAATGCTGCTGTCACTTAGCATGGTCAGCCTGCAACAGAAGTGTTATGGGCAAATAAAGCAAGAAAGCCGGGATTAGATTGCAAAAGTGCTTAAACTGTATACAGGTAAGATGCCAACCTCAAAAATGGAGGGTTTAGACTAAACATACAATGGTTTGAGACATTTCTGCAATTCATGGAGAGGTACTGATGATAAAGCTTGTTAAGAGATGGCTGTAGATGTTACAGGCTGGCCCAGTTTGTCAAAGTGGACACGTTCCAGAAGTATAGCAGCCTGGAGACAGCGAAACTACAACAAACTGTCAGACAAAGAAATCATGTGGAAGTACACCTGAGAACTAGTGAGATTAGCAACACTGGGGCACTTTATAGGTAGAAACTAGGTCATCTAATTTGCAAGTGAAGAGAAGAAAAAAAAAAAAAAAAAGAAAAAAAAAAAAGTGCAGAGATGAGGATAAGGCATCTAGCCCAGTGAAACCTAAAGAAATTACCTTTTTTTCTGTTCCAGCTGGGAAGAATTTCAAAGTGGGGAAGCTGTGGATCTTTACAGCTTCAATTTCATTTGCTGTGGAGTCCATCTTGGCAATGACAATGCTTTCATGGTCCTTGTATTTCTCCCCCAGTTGGTCCCAGATTGGTGCCAACTGCTTGCAGTGAAAACACCATGGAGCATCTGTGAACACAATACACCAATAATTTACAAGCTGACACTGTAGAGAAGTCATACAAGCAGCAAAGACTAAACATTTACTTACAGAACTCTATAAATACATCTTTGTTTTCATTGAAGGCCACTTCCTCGAAGTTCTTTCCTACTAGTACTCTAACTGGGTTCTTGTCCCAGTCTTCAGGCACATCCTGGCTCATCAGGTGGGGCTATACGAGGAAAAAAAAAAAAATAAGAGGTAATGTTCTGCTTTGTTATTCCAAATTGCAGAGTCTACTGTACTTTAAATGGGTTAGAATAGGTGTGAAAAATTGCCATCACAAGTTGTGGCAATTCCCAATATTTTCCCCCAGTTTTAGAATCCCCTGTAGCCAGTTAAGCAGCTCCTCATGTGTAGTGGGAGGGTCAGCTTCCTGAAAGTGCAAGGCAAAAAACAATGATCCTTTACAACCAACCATTCTACGCATGAAGGTAAAAAAAAAAAAAAAAACTGCAGAAGTTCCCCCAGCCCACCAATGCTTACCTGAGCCCTATTGTGATCTGTGATGTGCATGAGCCTCAGCTCTCCAGGGTCTCCCTCATTGGCTCATAGCCACTAGCTTCTGCTAGTGTCAGTCACAGCCTGTGAGCCAATGAGGGGGGGGCCAGGCTGAGTGCAAATAGACAGCAGTGGCTTGGAAACAAGCCTCTGTGCCCCCCATAGCAAGCTGCTTGTTCTAGGGGCACTTGGCAGGAGAGGGGCCAGGAGCACTTATGAGGACCCAAGAGGATTGGGGCTGCTATGCAAAACCACTGCACAAACAGGTACGGCAATTAAAAAAAAAAAAAAAAAAAAAAAAAAGAAAGAAATGGTCTTACATTGCATGAAGGCCTGTGCTGTGCAACCTTTACTTTATCATTTAGTGCTAAAGGGGAGTTTTTATACATTGACCAAATACAAGACAGCAATTACTTCCACAGAATAGAAATGAGCTCTGGAGGCAGCCTTGGACACCCCCCCCCCCCCCCCACTACATTAAGATGCATCTGCATTCTAGGCAAAATCAAGGCTTCAAGAAATTCACCTGAATATTGTGATACAACCCCATGCAAAGAAGTGTCACCAACACAAGAATTCCACAAAACAGGTCTAAAGCTTTGTGGTCACAAGGTACAAAGGAAATGGTTCAGAACCATACAAGGCCCTTTCATCAGGGAAGCCATACACTTGCCTGAAGGGGCCCTGAATGGCTCCAAACTGTTGGCTTTGTATGCACCACGTGACTAGGAATTAAAGCTTTGGATCCGTTTGAGGAATCCTTGGTGTGCTGGTGACATTTCTCCACGTTGAGTGTATGGCTTCCAGCAGCACCCCATCAATACTGAAGAGACATCTTTAGGAAAGTGCATTGCGAATATTGCAATTGGACTTGTTACAACTCTACTCATCTATGAGCTCTTCAAATAGTAAGTTTAAGTACACCAATCTGAAACCTCATGCTCTCTTGTATACAGAGGAACACAAACTACCAACAAATCTCCTCTGAATATTAGCAGTTATGTTAAAGATTCCACTTTGCCTGGAAGTATTTTATGTCAGCCACATTAAAAACCCTCCTGGATCAACGGCAGTCTAACTCAACTCCTTACCTTCACTTTGCCCTCCAGGAACTTTTCACAGAACTCCGTGATCTTCTCAGCAGACAGATCACTGCTTTCTGGTTTGTATTTGGTCATCTCCTCCTCCAAAGTAATCAGTCTGATAGCTGGGCAGTCTTCCTTCTTCAGACCAAAGAACTCCAAGATACGCTGGTTGTCTGCATGTTCGCTGTCAATGAAGATGAACAGAATCTAGGAAGAAAAAACAAAACACCTTAGTTAGACCTACCGGTAACAGTTTCTAGGGGTCTCAGGACAGCATTTGAGTATCAATCCACCTGAATTCCCAGGAAACACGACATCCTCAGACTAACCCTCCAACCCCACCCTCCGTTGTAAACAGATTTCTGGACTCTACAAACAGAAGGTGATAGTCTAAGGCACAATAGAGATCTTTCAGCCTTCAGGACTCCAATGCTTCTTAAGACAGCAGTAGGCCTCTTCCTCCCTGAGACACTGAATGGGAAGTGAACCCAAAAAGCCAAGAAAGCCCAGTGAATAAGCATAAAAACCACCACTATTGTACCACCCCCCCCCCCCATATAACATCCAGGAAGATTTTGGGATGGTCTACCCAAAAATGTCAAAGGGAGAACCCACACAAAAAAGGCCACCACCCCTCCAACGTCTAGAGACTGTGCCAAGCCCACCCAGGTTCCAGTAGTGCTTCCACCATGGTGGAGGAATAACTGAGGGCAGGCTGTAAGTGACCAACTTTAAAGTCTGAGTTTGCAGTGTCTCCTGGCAATTTGGGTGGAGCTACACTCTCCAGGTGCCATCCTGAAAGACTATGGGGGGGGGGGGAAAAAGACCATTCGGTTCAAAATAGGTAGCACTTGTCACAATAGGTGTGCTTGTGTAAAAAAAAAAAAAAAAAAAAAAAAAAAAAAAAAAAAAAAAAAAAAAAAAAGTAGACAAATATTTAGCAAGGAAACTGGTAAGAGGCACTGCCTCCCTACCTATAGCTCATGTTCACCTTCCCTATGCACTAGTTCACCAAACCATATCCTTACACCCACATACCTTGTCACCTGGAGCCCTGGATTCTTCTGAAGTCACCATTTTGCATATTCTCTGCAATCTAACTAATCACTCCTAGATTGTAAGCTCCAAGGAGCAGGGCCCTCAAATCCCTCTTGTATTGAACTGTATTGTCTCCATCTATAATGAGAAGTGCTGAGCAAACCATTGGCGCTATATAAATTCTGTATAATAAATTCCTAGATTGTAAGCTCGAAAGAGTAGGGCCCTCTTACCCCTTGTGTGCGGTTTGTAGTTGCTGTACCGTTTCATGTATTGTCCCCCCTCTATTGTACAGCGCTGAGCAAACCCTTTGGCGCTATATAAACTCAATGTAATAATAATAATAATAATAATAATAAATAATTCACTCCAAGTCATAGCCTTACTCCACCCTCCACTGACAAATTTTAACCTACACTTGTTCCCTTTATATAATCTGAGAGGGAAAAAAAAAAAAAAAAAAAAAAAAAAAAAACTACTGATACTGAAATCTGGATTTTCATATGCTATGAAAACCAATTGCCTCAGTCTTACTCAACTGTTATTTTAGGCAGAGCTCCATTTGTAGAGAAAAGCAGCATCAGTCACCAATACAATTTTCCCACTTCATGTGAAGCATCGGGACAGAAGGGATTAGAAGTTAGAGCGCAAGTGTTCTATTGCCTACACTCGCATTCCTAATCTACAGAAAGCTTCTGCTAAAAAGTTCCCCTGTATTTCAAAGTCCAAACTTCTGAAAAATCTCTGAATGTAAAAATGCCATTGCATACTCCTAAAAGAATGTTCTTACTCTTGACATGAAGACCAAGTTTCCCCTAACCCCTAAAGTCACTCACCTTCCCCTTAAAGCCTGAGGCTGCTTTCTTGAAGTCATCAAGCTTGTCTTGGTAGTCAGAGGTACTTTTTGGCAGGAAAAAGAGGATGTGTGTCTTCATCTCCCCACCGAATATCTTTGGTGCTGTCTGGAAAATGCAAAGTGGGTTAGGTGTGGCCCATTTATCATGGATGTAACACAATTAGAGGATTTCCAAGCAGAAAACTACCTGCCAGTACTGGTGCTTTCATACCATAATCTGGGGTGCATTTAAATTAGGGCTTCATTCATTGACCTGTGTTGTAAGACTGGTGGCCAATATGCTGCGTCTTCCCCTGGCCAAGTCTTTGCTCACTGTAAAGAGCTACAGAGGAGCAGTGAGGCAATTGTACCCATATCTGCTGAAGTAGGCATACTTGCAAGTTAGACTCCCAGACTGCCCTGTCCCTTGTGGGTATCTGTGTGCAGATAGAGCCCTCAGTGCCAACAGCCTGCTCTGTTTTCCCCCTGTATTTCCTTTGCATCATGGGAAAGGGCATCCTTTCCCTGTATGGATGCCACTGCAGCAAGAGTCCTGATGCCAGGAAGAAGCACACTATTCCAAGGGATGTCATGTCAGCAGAAAATCTTGAATTTACAAGTAAAGACACGTTTTTTTAAATCAGTCTGTGGTTCAGCACTTAAGGACAGGAATCTGTAGTTTCAAATAAGGTAGATACCTTGCGTTCAACTTTAACACCCCTGTCTACCAAAGTTTACAAAAATGTCCTGGTAAACTCAAGCCATGAGCATGGTATAGATTTTTCACAGCCAGTGATCAGTTGTCACAACATTCCCATTGCATACGTCCCTGGAAAGGGTTCAAAAGTAGCAGGGGCTGCAGCAACTACCAAATGACATCACAGATCAATGCATGTGTTTGCCAGCTGGTGTGCGGGCAAATGTGCATTGTTCAGTTTTTTTGCTGGCCCCTAGATCACTTCTACAGGGCAGTTTTTTTTTGCAATTTCACAGACACATGTAACATTAAGCCTTCATAAGTTTGGGATCTAATCAATGCAACATCTAGATTTTTACCATAAACTGGGTATTGTGTGGGCTAAAATGTACTGTATGTACCTGAAGGCACATTTATTCAATAACTGATTCATTTTGCACAACTGCACTCATTTTATTCTATGGGGCCTCTGCTTTAACCACTTCAAGTGCAGACACTTTCAACCCCTTCCAGTCCAGGCCAATTTTCAGTGCTATCACACTTTGAATGACAGTCATGCAACACTGTACCCATGATTTTTTAGCATTTTTTTGAGACAAATCTTTCGGTGGATTTATTCACCACTCATTTTTATAGCAAAAAATAAAAATCCCAAAGTCCAAACATTTTGGAAAAAGTTATGACATTTTGCAAATTTCATATCTTGGCCAAAATGTATTAATCTATCTTAGTAAAAAAAAACCACCCATATTAGTTTATCACCAAAAAACATTTCTAATTTTTTACATTTTTGAATGTTTAACATACTGTCACCCTAGCAGTACAGTGGAACCATAGTGAAACTGTAGTAGTGGGGGGTGATTAAGATTCTCTTCACACTGATTGCTTTTGCACACTAAAGGCCGTAAAAACACTCTATGGCTGCATTCTTGCAGCCATTGAGAAATACTGAGCTGTGATTGGTCAAAGCTTGTCACATGGTACAAGGCTGTTGTGAATAGCCTTGTACCATGTGACCTCTGATCAGATTTCACTAGTAGTAAGCAATGATGTCCGGAAGTGACATCTTGTTGACTACCATTCATGTGATCACTGATTAGCCAATCATTGATCACATGAATCAGGACCTCAGAGGTCCCATACAGTGATCGGTGTTCTGCTGCTCCCAGGGAGTACGCACAGGCAATGATGCAGGGGGAAGTTTAGAAACGTCCACCCGCTCCCCACCAGGCCCATGTACATAAATGGCTGAACTGAAGTGGTTAAAGAAAAAAAACTAAAATTGGCTGGGGGGTAATTTCTAGCAAAACATGTATATTTTAACATGTGATATTGCAGGAGAGAATCTACAGTATTACTGTACTTTCCTAGAAGGGAGGCTAACCAGGAGGATCCATATCATGGGCTTTTGCAGTAAAAGGCTGCAGATCTTTCAGGCTGTCATGCCAACTGCAAAGCATAAACCCAGCCATCAAGCACAGACTTAGCAGGGTGCTTTAGAGTCAGATCCACCAAACAAGTGCCAAAAATGTAGCAATATGAACACACCAAGACTTACCTGCTCAGTGAATTCAACAACCAAAGGCAGCTGATTGGATTTAACAAACGCAACAACGTCTTCCTTTGTTGCTTCCCCATCATACACATTCTTTCCTTCGTCAAACTGAAAGAGAAAGTAGAATTGAAGCTTCGAATCAAATCTTCATGGGTTAAAGTCAACCTGAACGCAAGCCATTTTATAGGGAAGATCTACAGGTACATTGGACCCAGGTAGCAGCCTAGAAATACCAAATTGCTCCTGAAAAACAGCGGTGCTCTTGACATGCAGCTGTCCAGGGACTGTTCTGTAGCCTCACAGCTGCGTTTTGCAGCACAAGAACCAGCACACTTACCTCTGGGTGTTCAAATGTAGAACACAGCATGGTAAATCTAATGGGGAAACCATCAGCTACTAGGAGAATATAGTCCAATGGCTTTTAGTTAAAGATTATATAAATTCATCCATGATATACTAGGGTAAACCGGCGGTCCTGGATGCACCATTTGCTACAGAGCATTAAGAATTTGTAGATATGTAAAAATATAAAAGTTCCTTTGTGAACCTGTAAGGAAAAGTGAAGCAATGCATTGCTTTTTGCCAATTCTGCAGTTTGTCAAACTAGCAAGGCAAAGCTCAGTAATTACAAGATGCCTTCAGTATGGGATTAGGCTTTTTCCATTTACCTTAGAAAACATGTTAATTACATCTTCATTATGACCTAGAGCGCAAGCATGACAGATCATTTCTGCTGCTAATTTACAGAACTGAAAGATCGTATTCCTGGGTTAAAAGTAGCACATGATCAGCCCTATAGGTAAACCATGAGTTGTGCTCCTCATATCAGGACCACTTCCTTCTAAATGCAGCCAGCCAGACTAGATTTCCCAGAAGGTTCCTGGAAGTCAGTACAAGTCAGGCATGACACCAATAGAACAAAGCTGCTAAAGAATTAGAAATTACTGGACAATGTCATGTGTTCCAAAAAAGTGTCACAGATAATGGAGAAATATAAAAAAATCCAAACACTTGTATAAATATAAGGATATGTATGAGTTTTGTACCACTTCAATGGTGACTGACTCCTACCTCTCCTTGGTATGCACTCTTGGTTTCAGACAAGGACACAGAGGCTATTACCTGGAAGGTGAACATTGTTGAGATTACAATAGTCTCTGCTCCCCCCCTTTCAAGTCACTGGGTATAAATGTTTGCCCTCAGAATGGTATCAGATATGCCGAGACTCCGGCTCTTTGCTTTGGGTGTTCAACTCCGCGAGAGAGAGTGGTGGTTTGCCAACTTCTATGAGTGCGGCAGTTAAATGCTGCTTCCCAAGAGTGGGTAAGATGTTACAGAATGTGATTCATATCACCCCATCTTGCTGACGCAAAAAATGCTTAAAAAGGTTACAAATCGGTAACTGAAACCCGACTATGCTGGGTAGTGTGCTCAGATGAAGGGAAGATTATTGTTATACAGACGCTGCAAAACTCTGGTACAAGGGTGGTGGCCTGCCTCCCTACAAACGCCTTTGACTCTTGAATGGCCTCGTTTTTATCACTGGAGTGTTTTGGGCCCAAGTTTGTGTCCTGGGTTTGATTAAATACAGACCCTTTGGTGAGAGTCAATGGAGTCATTTCGGACTCCTAGGGGTGCTAGACAGGAGGGCCCCTTGTCACCCCACCTGGTTATTGAGCCACTGGCTGCAACATTACAGGAGCATGACCAAGTATAGGGCTGGCATCCTATATTTTCTTTGCCCCCCCTCACCACCTTAATGCAACAGACAGTCGTGGAAAGATCTTGGGGTAGATTGTGGGGAGGTTTTACATTTGCTGGGGAAATTTTCTATTTGTGTTTGTGATACCCGTCAGATTCACCCATCTCTTGGTTGCCCAATAGTCCCTTGTGGTTTAAGCCATCCCTGGAGATTTTTTTTTTTTTTTAAATAGCTCCTTGGCTCAACATGGAAGAAATGTGTACATTTATACGCTAATGGACATTTTTGCTTTTATAGACCTTGTTAGGGAGAGGGGGGTTCTGACAACACGTACATGTATTTTCAGCTGCGATGGCACAATCTGGGAATGGGGGAGGGGACCCTTATATATCTAAAATTCAGGTCTGTCCTTTTGGATTCTAATCATGCCTAGTTGCTCTCTAGGTTCTTAGCAGCCTCGACTCCTAATAAATTCCAAATTGGTGGCGAGAGTCCAAGACTGCTGGACCGCCATTGAGCTGGTGGCGAGAGTCCAAGACTGCTGGACCGCCATTGTGCTGGAGTAGCTGTGGAGTGAGGCACTTTGCACTTACCTACCCACGGTTACAGCATCTGATTGGTGCAACACATCCTGAGATATATGCTTTTGTGGCCATTTTGTATGCACAAAGTGGACTGCCCTGTGCCATTGCATGCACTTACACATGGTTTGGGAGTGCCCACATGGTTTGGGAGTGCCCACATGCCAGACCTCTGGTCTCAGGTGACAGAACATATGGCTGACAATTTTGTCAGCTTAGATGTATGTACTCCTTTTTTATGCCTGTTCAGTAGCATTACTCATTCCTCATCAATTGTGCCTAATTGTTTTAGAATTTTTTCAAATTATGAAAACAGATTGCCAGGAGATTGGTATATACAGAAATTTACCATGTGGGAGGGGGGTAAGGTGAATGCAGATCTTCCACTGTACAGAAGCACGAGAGGAATGTGGATGCCCCCACAAAATGTACTAAAGTGTGATTCTGCTGGGAGGACTCTCGTGACTTTGGGAGGAAATATTGAATAGATAGCTACTCTTATGGCTGATTGAGGGGAGGTGGGTGGGATAACCCTATGTCTATGGTGAAACTCCATTTGCAGATAAAACTTTGCTAGAAAAGACTGGAATAAAGATCTATTGTTTGCCATATTAGCTCAGACTCCATTCTTTATGGTGGCAATTATGTCTATATGCATGCCTGCGTCCGCTGGTTGTTATACTTGCCCATGCTTGGATACTGTAATACTTGTGTTGTCTGGAAATAAAAAGTTGAATAAATGTAGAACTGCACTCCCAATGCTGGCCAGCTGTAGCCATGCTATTTATAAAAGCTACCTTTGACACAAACTACTAAGCAACTACCTAGTCAGCTCAATGCAGCCTGGCAACAAGAAAAGCAAAGATCTAAGAATTCAAGTGCTACTCTAGATTAAATTGGCTCAATACTTAATATAGTAGTAATGAAGTAGAAGCCTGACTATTGTATAAAGCCCTCACATGGGGCAGAATCCCCTCTGCTGAGCAGGAGACCAGTCTGCAGATTCCCCACTGAGCAGAGTGGAGTGGGCAGATGACAGGTCCGTGTTCACTCTGATAACGCAGCATGGACACAAGTCCATTCTGCTCTATGGGTGGTCGAGTGTAACTGGACCAGCTGGCCATTCACACCCAGCTGCCCTCCGATCCACCTAGACAGGGGAATGGATTACCTTGTTTTTAGCAGATTGAAGTCAAAAGGTAGGCAGGCGTAAAAAAAAAACAAAAACAAAAAAACACAACTACACAGGGACAATGTCCATTTACACCCTCCAGTATAGAAATACATGGACCATCTGATCAGGTCCACTTGAAAAACTGACCGGTGGACTTATCGGCTCGTCCATGTGAAAGGGTCACAAGGGAAATCTGAAGGCACGTATACACAAGAAAGCCAGTCTAAGTTTATCTGCCATTGTAGGTGTGCTTTGAACACTGGACAGAACTACCACTGGTAGTTACATACACCTCTGTGCACAAACCAGGACCTGTGGATATGTAAAACATCTATTTTCATATTTACAGGTGCACAAGCAGTATCAAAAAACAGCAGGCTGTTCTGTCAATGCAGCACTTACAGATCCAAGACATGCCAACCATTACAATCATCCAAGGATCTGTCTCAAGTGGCTTTTGTTTGTGTCATGTATATGGGAAAGAAACTGCTTCAGGCAGGTGAAAACCAGACCAGGAATCAACTGCAGGCAAAAACGCACCTGTCAATTCTGTATGGAACAGGGGGAGTCTCAAACCAAATGCCACAAGGCAATTGGCACAGGGCCTAAAGCCACACATGACCACTAAACTCACCAATCCTTTTACAAGTAAGTAGCACCAATTTTTTTGTTTTAAACACCAGACTGTTCTTACCTTCTTGAAAAGGACAATGCTATCCTTTCCAACGGCATATTTGGAGAAGGCAGCGTCACTGGAAGTGATACCAAACTGTAGGTCATCCACTGCATCTGCGACCTGCAGGAAAGCCTTTGCCAGCGCAGACTCCACATCCTGACGGGAGACAAAACATTTTTAAAAGGCTTTTAACCAGTTAATTCATATACTGATCCTGCACATGTGTGTTTATCACTAGGACAGACTTTAGCCAAGTTTCTCAATACTTACAGGTCATTGGGGCACCAATATTTGATAAGTAAACAGTGAGATCAAGAGTACTTGCAGAAATCTTCTGTAAACTTGTGACCAGGTAGGGAGAATTTTTTAAGGAGCCAGCAGAGCATTGCACATGCCATCAGCAGATTTTAGGTGCAATCTCAGCATAGCTGGCAGTACCTCATATGGGCAGGCAGTTACCCGAGAGCAGGAAGAATCAATGGACTACCAGAGTGGCCTCAGTTCACTGAAAAGCTGTCATCTGCAATGGTGGATGGTACTTTTAGACATTCATTCACTGGAAACTGCATTGTGACCCGTGCAGGTGGAGAAGTTGAGGCTGCAGGAGCACGTTACATGTTCTACCCTAAAATCAGGTGGAATATACAACATGAACTTCTTCGTTTCACAGCTGCTATGTGATAAGTTCATATGAGAGTGCTAGCTGTCAATTTAAATGGGCTGCCAACAGAATCCTTCAAGTTCAGTTTGTGCCGAATCCTACTGAAGCCTGCTAGCAGCTTAACTAGAACTCTGCATAAAGCTTTTACCACATCTACAGTTAAAAATGTTTTGGTGCCAATTCATACTTTACTGTAAAACGTAAACACATGAACCTTCCATGCAATCTGGTTCAAGTGCTAAAAAAGGTCAGGTTCAAGGCCAGCCCATTCAATGAATAGGCTTCATTAATCATGCAAAAAGCACACCACATCGAGTTAACAGCAGTCTGAACAAGCTCACGTCTAATGCTGCTGCAATCTTGCAGAAAGCTTTTGCATGCCTTGTAAAAGTCTTCTACACTGCACTTACACAACCCGATGCCCACCAATACAAGACACTACACTTGCATAAGAAATACAAGGATGTGCTAGAGCAGGGGTAGGCAATCTCAGATGAAAACTACAAGTCCCATCATGCCTCTGTCCCTGGAGTCACGTCTTTGGCTGTCATGCTTACAATTCCTCATGGGACTTTTAGCTCCTCAGCAGAAGAGTTCTGATATTGCCTACCCCTGTGCTAGAGCAGTATAAAAATTTATTTAAAAAAAAAAAAAAAAAAAGTTTTTATTTTTAGGAAATGCATGGTAGAATTGTTACCAGTGTGGAGTGTCACTCACCTCCTCCCCGATTTCTACATTTTGCCCAGCTGGGTGTTTTCATCTTACCTTAAAGAAACCAATAACTGCAACCTCGTTGGCTTCTATGAGAGCTGTTACAGCTGCCTCGTCATTCAGGGTGGCTGCGGCTGGCCCAGTGCGCTTCTTCAGCCAGTTGACAATGTCTACTGCTTCCCTGCCCGCTGTAAGTAGATCAGACTGCCATTACATTTGGTAATATTGGTACAAACCAACAACATTTCCAGTTTATAACTAAGGGGTTAGGATCCTTTTCATATGGTCACTGCCTTCGGTCTCCACATGACAGATTAGCAGCCTTTGTGCTAGAGCCAGGAAGTGAGGGAAAGCCAAAATTTTGAATAGCTGGAGGGGGGGGGGGGGGGGGGAGTTGAATAGTTTCCGTGCTATAGGTGTAGGCCATTTACACACCTCCTGAAGACAGACCAGAAACTTCCAGGACGTTGCTAGGACATTGCCAAGCAGGGCCTAGCCAGTACTGCTCACCACAGAAGCAAGCTCCCATACCCTGAACTCAGAACTTTTACATCAGGAGAGAGAAACCAGTGATGTGTTTAGAGCAGTTCACATCCTGCACTTTAATATATGGACACTGTTTGAACTCCGTTTGACTTCTAATTCTGATATTGCACAAATTACCTACGTGCAACTGAATATCAATACTAGTACCATTTTATTGATTTGAGTTGCACCTTTGCTCATGTACATAATTCTTACTGTTTGCTGATTTCCTGTTTTTCATATTTTATTTATATTTATGTGTTCTTCACAGTTCCACTTATTTACTTTTTCATTGTGATTTTAGTGCTGCACTTATACATATACCGCGTTTCCCCGAAAATAAAACATCCTCCAAAAATATGACCTACTTACAGGTTTCCTTCTGGGTGAAATATAAGGCATCCCCCAAAAATAAGGCCCCCTTAGGCTCTATCTCGGAATGAAAATTAATTTACTGTAAACTGGTTGCTAGGGCCGCCCCGACTGGCGTCTAGCAACCAGTGACGTTACGCGGAGTCCTGACGTCACTGCTGTGTGGAGGCGGGGCGGAGGTCGGAGTGAGCGGTGAACGCGGGGCGGGAGAGAGGAGACTTTCGCAGATGCGCGTAGAAGAACAGGAGGATCAGAGCGGACGGGATGCGGGGAAGATGGTGAGTGCTGGTCTGTCTCTGATGACACCGCCTGATGCTCGCAGCCACCCTCATGATGAATGAAGGTTCTCAGTCAGTGGCAGACCCTGCTCCAGCCCAGGTCCAGGCCCCAGCCAGCCCAGCGACAGTCCCCAGGGAGGAAATGTCTAATAAAGGGGTGGGGGGGGGGGGGGGGGGGGGATGTCTGGTGAAGGTGTTCAGTGGCACAGAAGTGGGGGGAGGGGGATCACTTAAAATGACACAGGAGGATCAGAGGGGGCAATCAAAATGACACAGGAGGATCAAAAGGGGTTACTAAAATGGTAATCCCCCTCTGATTCTCCTGTGCCATTTTGATTCCCCCCCCTTTCAGACATTTCCCCCCTGGGGCCTGCCTGTTATGATGATGATCCAGAAGATGATATGATTGTCATTGAATGAGTTAATTCTTGATACTGTAGGATTCACAGTTTGTCTGGTTTGTGTTGACAACTACCGTATACAGGTAATAAATTTCCTTTATTTTCATTTAACAATAAATGTGTACCGTATTCTTCATGGAAAAATAAGACATCCCCTGAAAATAAGACCTAGCGCATCTTTGGGAGCAAAAATTAATATAAGACACTGTCTTATTTTTGGGGAAACAGGGTACTTGTGGGGATTGTTACCTATACCTTGTGTGGAAGCTGCTTTAGAGTCATCACTAGCGCTCGCCTGCATACAATATATTTACAACGCATTAACTTGCAGCCCCCTTTGCCACCTTAAAACTTGCCAATTCCAGATCATAAGAGGCCAGATTGGCTCCAGCATTGGATAAGGAACTGTTCCTGAAACTAAATGAAATAATGGCCGGCTATGAACACTTTAATCTGCCTACTGAAAGGTCCCCTGCATCTCGCTGGGGAAAGGCAGCAAGTTATGTTACTTAAAATAAAGCCACCATGTGGCACATTAAATATATTTTAGTGACCCAATACTTGAAGACTTCTCTGAAAATCACAGCTGCCTCAGACCCTAAAATAAAGCTGAATGGCTGCCAGTCAACGAGCTTTGCCAAGACATTGAAACTTGTGAATGACAGAATAGTGCAGGTTTTTGAAAACGGCTAAACAGATTGTACATAATACAATGCAACACAAAATACAATCACAGAGGATATAGTCAAGTGGGTCACCTGAGTATTCTTTTGGGGAAGAGGTGTCTCCGTTCTTAAATAACTTTATTGTAGGGTATCCACGAACGCCAAATCTCTGAGCCAGCTCTGACTCTTCTGTTGCGTCTACCTTTGCTAGCCGGATATTTGAACCTTCATCATGTAACAGTTTTGCAGCCTTGTCATATTCTGGAGCAAGGGCTTTGCAGTGTCCACACCAAGGAGCATCTAGAAAGCAAACAAATCACAAGTCACACAACATGCTAGAATTAGGGAGTTCAAATGCCAGCTTCAAGATCACAGGTTGATTGCATGTGGAGTAGATAAACCAGTTATAAAGAGAGAACTTTTGATCTATGGAGACGTTTAGCTAAAGTTGGATGCAGGCATGGCAGGGGCCCAAAGAGCCGAGTCCAGGCAGACGGCCCCACATTTAACGCTTATTAAAAAGCATTACAGAAAGCAGTCCTTGCCGGAGATGGCTTTTGTTTAATACCCAACCCTAAAAAAGGCAAGGCAGCTGTGCTCAACGACTTTCAGTATTCTCCTGGGAAGTGGCTTACTGCAAACCACAATGAATAGTGCAGCAGGCTGCTCTGCACAGCCCACGTTGAACAAAGTCCTTGGTTTAAGGATACCCATCACCTTCCCCATTCAGGGAATATTTGTTTTTGCTAAAGCCCACTGCACCAGTACTACACAAACATCCCCCACTCCCCCCCAGCCACTCCTGCCAATGAAGATTCTGGTACTTTCGTGCATGTGGGGGCACATGTAACCCACTGGCCAGGTAGCCAATCAGAAGGCTTAGGCTCTACTGTACAACAGATGGTGTGCTTACAAGACTCCAACACAAGGGACAAGATTTCAGTACCAGCTGATAGGCAGGCATATACAATGCAGCACTGGTAACTGGGGCAGATAGGGGCCTTTACAAATCACTTGCCCTGCATGGGTAGGGTGACGGTCTTCAAAGTGAGCCTCCAAGGACAGAAACCTCAGTACCACCATTACAGAATGATTCATACTAATCAAGGCTAGAGTCAGTGACCATGAACAAGCATGCAGCCATTAAAGTCTGAATAAGCGTTAACTGTTTAAGTGCTGACTAGGCAGCGCTTATACAGTTAACTAGTCTGAGGGTTGAGAGCCCCATCAGTGCAGCCTCATTAGTGCATATCAGTGAAGGAGAAAAAAAAAAAAAAATCACTTACAAAAATTTACCACAAAAAAGAAAAAAATTCAAAATTCAGTTTTTGGTATGTTTAGCAATAAAACCCAGAGGTGATTAAATACCAACTAAAGGAATCGGTCTAAAAAAAAAAAAAAAAAAAAAAAAAAAAAAAAAAAAAAAAAAAAAAAAAAGTGAATGTATGTAAATCCCAATTTTTGGGAAATATGCAAGGATATTACAGCAAGTAAATAGATACCAAACATGTCACACTTTAAAAAATTGCACTCGCTCTTGGAATGGTGTGAAACTGCGGTACTTAATCTCCATGGGTGATTCTTTAAAAAATTTCTACAGGTTAGCAGTGTAAAGTTATAGTGCAAGAATTCTTGCTCTGACCTCACATGTATGGTCTGAACACCATTTACATGTGGGTGTGGCCTACGTATGCATTCTCTACTATGTGCGAACACAGGGCACTTAAATTTAAAAAAAAAAAAAAAAAAAAAAAAGTTTACTTTTTTTTAAAGGGACAATGCAAAAAACTCGTTATCACTTATTCTTATCACAAGAAATGCATGCATCCCTTGTGAAATACTTAAGTGACAGGTTCTCTTTATGGAGAGATATAGGGTCAGACCCCACATCTCTCCTCTGCAATGTAAAGCATTGGATAAAAAAAACACAACAAAAAACAAAATAAAAAAACCACAGGAACAGGACGTAACATTGCTCTGGTCCTCCAAGGACAGATGACTCCTTCACTCATCTACGCCCAGCTCTGGGATAATTTGATTATTTCTCAGGCAAGGCTGACTGGCGTCCGGCAGAGGGGACGGGGTTTTTTTGGCACCTGTATCGGTGCTTTTTTTCCCCCCATATCGGCCGACAGGTGTGTTTTCGACCACTGAAATTTCATTGCATCCCTACTGAATACCCATCCTCCATACTGGTTCCAGGTCACCAGCTTCCTAGGCTGCCAAAGATGACATTACCAGAGCTGGAAACCATGTCTGCATGGGCTGCTACCTTGTCTTTAATTATACTAATTGCAGCAAGCACCATCATCAACTCATGTTACCCAACCTCATTCTTCATGCCCTGCAGACACCAAGACTAGGCAATTGGGTCATTTAAACGATGACGCTAGGAATACCAGGATGATGCCAACCATGACTTTGCATTATCAATACAGTTTCAGATGTCACATTACAAAATCAAATACAGATTAGAACGATGCAAGAGCAGTAACCTAGGTCTACCCTATAGGATTTCTTGCAAATTTGTGTGTGCCCAAGAGTAATCAGTCAGACATGATCTGCCAAAAAAGGTATTTCAGTTGGAAGAAAGTTTCCAGATTTCCCCAAAATCACTCACTGCCAACACCTTAAAAAGGCACTTGATTACCGAGATCTTCAAACGCTGCATCCCAATGATCAAACTATCCAGAAATGGTTCTCAATGCCCATTAACCAAATTGGAAGGGAAAATGTTGTGGTTAGCATAAAAGGTCCATCACTTTAAAGTGTTACTAGACCCACAACAGTAAAATCAGTCTGTAGATGCAGTAAAGCATGCTTGTTATAGTCAGACACCTAAGGGGTTAATCCTCTGCATTGTGTAAAGAGATGTATGATCCTCCCCCTTCTACAGTCCCCAATACATAGGAACAGAGGCTTGGAGGCAAGCTGCACATGCTCAGTTGGGTGTATTGCTAGAGCGTTTTTTTTTCTTGGGAGGGTACATGTGATCAGCACAGGACCAATCAGTACTGTCCAGACAGTCAGGGTCATGCAGCATCATAGGGGAGAATGAAAACTCATACAAGCTTTAACCAGTGCTCTGCTGGACACTGACAGAAGTCACAAGACTGCTGATGAGAAAGGGCATTTAGCAGTTTTTACTTAAACTACATTTCCATGTTGCGTACTGTGGGAGACTGAATTTAGAGAAGGCAGGGTCAAGGGTTTAGTAACAATGAGAAAAACCCCACACTAATCTATGAAAGACATTTGCGATAGATAAAATTGGGAAGTCTAGCAAACGTCTGGATAGCATAGGGAAGGTTAGATCAGATATTGTTGCACATGTCCCCTCCTAACATCCCATCCTGATGACCAGAGGACAAAGTGAAGGAAGGTTACATGGCTATGCCCCTACTTTGTTTTCCCACATTTTGTCCCATACCTGTATACACTGTACAGCAGAAGCAATGAAAAAAAGCAACCCGAGAGTGACTGAGAAATGAACGCCTTATAGGTTGTGAGCAATTCTAGCAAAACTAAACTTTAGCCAGGTTTCACGATAAAACACAATACTACCCATGTGCAGTATAGCCAAGTGTAAGCTCATGATTTACACATTGGATTTCAGTTCTGAAGCCTTTGGCTCCATATCAGATCTTTCCCAGAGCAGGATCTCTGCACCTTCCTGCAAGTCTTGATTTATTCTATATAAATTAAGCCATCTATGTATAGGAAGTCACTAGGCTGGCTGAAGTTGTACAGAACCTATTGCCAGATCCCCCAAGCCAGTCCACACCAGAAGTCGCACTGGAATACATGGTGCATTCTGATGCACTGAGATACGAGTCCATTCATTCACAATCCAAAAGTAGTACATGCACTACTTGTGGAAACTCCCTGCAAAATGGATTGAATGGTACTTCTGTATCCAGTGGGGGCAAATGCACTGCGTTTAGGGTGTCATTAACATATGGACGGCGGCTACAGATCACAACTGCAATGAGTTTTGAACGCAGTGCAGGAAACATTTCAGGTGTCAACAGGTTCTAAAGCCAGCCATAGAGACATTTACTTGCCAGCAACCACAGGTTACAAGAAAGAAATCACTTGATTCCCTCATTGCAGGTGAGGGAATATCTCCCGCAGAGTCTGTTCTCCCCATCAGTTGGGGAAGCGGCCAAGCTGGGAGAACAGCGAGACCGCTAGCAGCAATAATCACATGTAAAAAGCTGACAGGCTTGAGTTATACCCAAGTTGATCAATCACATGGTTCAAATTTCAGTCACTGCTCAACCAGCTGAGATTCGAACAGTATCTCCGGCTTAAGTTCTAAAAGCCCAGCCATCCCATCCAAAAGTTTGGCGCCGACCACAGTTTAATATTTTTATTAGGATTTTGTGTAGAAGAACAAAATACAGTAAAGTAAAGATCAGTCAGCAGTATAAACGTGGAAAAGAACAAACAAGGGTGCACTCTCATCGTGCATTACCGTGGTAAATGGAAAGAGGATATATACTCAAACCAACGTGATAAAAGGCAGTAAAAGTGGTCCACAAGAACAGTCACTACATCTGTGTCTAATGGTGCAGATAGGCTAACACGTTTTGGGAGCTAAACCCCCTTCCTCAGAGCTCTGAGCACTTTTACTGCCTTTTATCAGGTTGGTTTGTGAGTATATATCCTCTTTTCATTTACCATATACCACGGTAATGCACAATGAGAGTGCGCCCTTGTTTGTTCTTTTCCACTAGTGGTCAGATTCCCCAATCTTAAAAGGGCAGCACCTCTTAGTTTGGCATTTTGGCATCGCCTTGGTTGTATGAAGACTGGAGTGCTGGTTTCGTTCGTTCATCTTTTGGAGCAGTATAAACGTATCATATTCAAGTAATGGCGCCAAGATTAGAGAATGGTTGAAATCTTTTCAGTTTGGTTTTATTGGTGAGGGAAATTCACTTCTGTCCTGCAGACAGGGGTAGAAGAGCCCTGCAAAGTACGGGAAATGCCCTTTAAACACTTGTCACTCAACATGCATCCCCATTTGAAGACTTCTCTCGTTTTGGGGAAAATGCCAATTGTTTCCCATCACTTTCAGATCTGGTGACCATGGCCAACGCTTCAATCTCAATAGTGGGGAACAGACTAAAACCTGATGTTCTATACCCTGCAGGTTTCTTTGGGCACTCAACATGCATCCACATTTGAAGACTTCTCCCCTCTTGTTCTGGTGAAAATGCAAATTGTTTCATCACTTTCAGCTCTGACGACCATGGCCAAAGCTTCAAGCTCAATATTGGGGACAGACTAAAAGTAGA